TCTCTTAACATTTAAAGTACATCACTCTATAATCTTGTTTGTGTGGTTTCTGATGAGAAATCTGATGTAATTCTTATCCTTGTTCCTCTATAGGTAAGGTGTTTTTACCCCCTTCTTGCTTCTTTCAAGATTTTTTCCTTGTCTTTGGTTTTCTGCAGTTTGAATATGATATGTTTTGAGTATTTATCCTCCTTGGTGTTTTCTGAGCCTCTTGGATGTGGTCTGGTGTCTGTTACTAATTTTGGGAAATTCTTGATTAATTTTGCTTTAAGTATTTCTGTTCCTTCCTTCAATCTCTCCCTCCCTCCCTCTCTCCCTTCTTCCCATCCTCCTACTTCCCTCCCTTCTTTCCTTCATTCTCCTTGTGGCATTCCCATCATACATATGTTACACTTTTTTAAATTGTCCAGTAGTTATTATATATTTTGTTCTGTTTCCTGCCCCCCCACCCACTTTCTTTTTCCTCTTTCTCTTTAGTTTGGGAAGTTTCTGTTGACATATCTTAAAGCTCGTTGCTTGTTTCTTTAAGCTTTGAGCATTTCCTTCTTATTCTTTTTAGAGTGTCCATCTTTTCATGTACATTACCCATCTGTTTTTGTACATTATTTATTTATTTATTTTTTGGTCAGAGCTCTTAGTTATTTTAAATCCATACTTGATAATTTGTATGTGTGTCATATCTGAATGTAGTTCTGATATTTGCTTTGTCTCCTCAGATGGTTGGGTTTTTCTTTTACTTGTTTAGAATGTTTTCTAATTTTTGTTGATAGCCAGACATAGTATTCGAGTAATAGGAACTGAGGTAGGTACTTAGGCTTTTAGAGTGAGGTTTGTTTGTTTGTTTGTTTTTGTCATTCTAGCTAGGAGCTGGGCGCTGTCTAATGTTTCCCATAGCTGTAGGTGGCAGGGATTGCAGTTTCTTCTAATTTCCTTTTTCTTTTTTAAAAAATCTTTCCCTATCTCTATTGTCTTTGGTCTTCCTAAGAATTCCTCCTTGAGTAGAGTTTGTGACTTGCAGCTTGCAACTTTTTCAATTTAACCCACTGCTGACATACTGAAGCCTCATTGATATGGTAGGGTTTTGAGGAAGAAAAGCATTGTAAAATCTTATGATTAGATCTCATTTTTTAGTGGGCCTGAGTCTTTGGGATGCAACTTTCTGAAATGTTTTTAGTCTTTTTTTATTCCTCTTTACATAACCAGATGGCTAGAGGAGGCTAGAGTTGCCAATTGTTCTTCCTCCAGGTTGGATAAGGCTCAAGTACTCTTCCTTGGAGTGCAGGCCTTTATCCGGGAATGCTTTAGGGACAATGCAGAATGGTTACTCTGTTCTCCCCTCCCTCATCTAAAACACAGGGGTATTTATTTAAATAATTTTCCTCATGAGAACCTGGTAGAGTTCTTGGAGCTAAAATCTGTACAAGTATTGGGGCCCCTGTAAGTATGGACCCTTGGTTTTTGTCCTCCCCCACACTTCGCTCCTTTTATTTTGGGAAAGTATTTCATTCCTTTATATTATTATACATTCATCCAGTGAGGGGCATCTGGACTGTTTTAAGGTTGAAATTATTATGAAAAGCTCTGCTATGAACATTGACGAACAAGTCTTTGTGCGCATCTAAGTTTTCATTTCACTTAATACATTTCCCTATGTAAATATCTAGGAGTAAATGTGCTGCTTCTGTGGTAAGTACATGTTAAATGTAAAAAGAAACTGTCACACTTGATTTAAAAGCATTTGTATCATTTTACATTCTCCAACTATACATGAGAATACGTAATTTGTCCAGATCATTGCCAACACTTGTAATTTTTCCAAATCCTTGTCAACGCTTCCAATTTTATGGGAAATCATTTTGTCTCCTCTTAATTAGAATTTTTTTTTCAATTTTTAGCCTTTTTAATTTTGAGCTTCCTAGTTGGGGGGGGGAGTATTGTTATCTTATTACAGTTTTATTTTGCATTTTCCTGTTATTTAATCATGTTGCAATCTTTTCACATGCTTACTGGCAATTTCTTTACCTCTTTTGGGTGAGTGTCTGTCTTTTCCCCATTTTTTAAGTGTTGATATAACATATCAACATATTACTTTCATATTACTTACAACATATTACTTTCAGGTGAAAAGCATAATGATTCGATATTTATATATATATTGAGGAACCACCACAGTAAGACTAAATGACATCCATCTCCACATAGTTGTAATTTTTTTCTTGTGGTAAGAACTTACCAGTCACCTGCTATACATTACATCTCTAGAACTTATTTATTTTATAATTGCAAGTCTGTACCTCTTTTCTTTTTTAAGATTTTATTTATTTGACAGAGAGAGATAGCAGTAGAGAGAAGACAAACAGAGGGAGTGAGAGAGGGAGAAGCAGGCTCCCCACTGAGCAGGGAGCCCAACACAAGGCTCAATCCCAGGACCCTGGGATCATGACCTGAGCCAAAGCAGATGCTTAACCACTAAGCCAACCAGGTATCCCACAAGTCTGTACCTTTTGACTAATTTCACCTCCGGGGTTTTTCATTTTTGAAGTAGTTCATACTCAGCCTCCAACACTTTGTAAAACTTACTGTTTAATTCTTCCTACTCCTTACTGGCTCTGGTACCTTCTGTTGTAGGTAAGCTGATCTCAGCTGTGCTTCTCTGTATGTGCCTATCTCTCCAGATTTTGGGTGGTGATTTGCTTTGCTACCTCAGTTCTCTGGAGGAGCTAAGAAAAAAAATCATTGTTTTTTTTACTCTCTTCAGCCTTTTTCTTGTGATGGGAGTGATGACCTCTTATCTCTTTGCATGTCGAATCTAAACCAGAAGTCATAATTATCTGTTAAAGAGAGAAAAAAAATCCTTTATATTTTTACCATTTCTGGTATTTTTCACTTTTTTTGGGTGTAGTTTCAAACTTCCTTGTGTATCCCACATTTTCTTCTAGAAGAACTTCATTTAACATTTAGTGCTAGTATGCTGACATTGAATTCTATTAGTTTCTTTTTTCTTCTTTTTACATTTTTCTATATTTTTTCTTTGTATTTCTATATTTTCTTTTTTATTTTCTTACTTTTTTATTTCTTTTGACCTCATAATTGAAAGATATTTATGGTGGAAATGAAATTCTGGAATGACTGCTATCTTTCAGCACTTTAAAGGTGTCAGTCTGTTGTCTTCTGGCTTCAGTTATTTCTGCTGAGGAATCTCCTGTAATTTTTCTTTTTTTCTAGATACCACCAAGATTTTCTGAATATCTTTGTTTTTCAGCACTTGGACTATGATGTGTGCAATCCACATACCCCCCCCCCCCACTTGATGTTCTGAACATTTCTTTGATTTGTGATTTCTTATCCTGTATTAATTAAGGGAATTTCTCAGTTGTTCCCTCTTTTGGTGACTCCAGTTATACAGAAATTAGGCCATTTGATAATGTCCCATAACTTCTGAATGATGTTCTGATTTTTACTTCTCTGCTTGTTTCATTTTTGTATAATTTCTATTTACCTATTTTCAAACTTAGATTTTTTTTCCTCAGCTGCAGCTTCAGTTTTCTAATAGCTCCATCTAAGAAATCCTTTATCTCTGATAGTTTTTTATTTCTAGTATTTCCATTTGATTTTTTAAGGTAGTTTCTTGTCACTCTACTGAAATTTTCCACTTGCTCATATATGTTATCTTCCTTTTCCACTTGATCCTTTAATGTTGTGCAGTGACCTATTGCTCATTTTAGTCGGAGACTTTATTAAAATCAGTGTTGCCATCCGTATTTCTACCAAAATTCTGTTCATGGTGACTTAGGTGTTCTCTAAGAAAATGGGAACTTTGGAGCTCTCTTCTTTTCTTCCAGAGCTCTTAACAGAATTGCCTTTAAGTGTCCTTTCATGGCAGTCTAGGCTTTTTCTAGCATGAACCTCGAACTCTTCCAGCCCCTATGCATTACCCAGTTATAAAGCTACTTCTGCATTAAGTATTGTTACAGCAGCACCACCAATTCTCAGTACCAGTTTTCCTCCTAGTGACTTCAAGCTGCTATAACAAAATACCATAAAAAGCTTAAACAGCAGACATTTACTTCTCACAGTTTTGGATGCTTAAAGTCCAAGATTGGGGTGCCAGCCTGGTCATGTTTTGGTGAGGACTTTTTTCCAGATTGCAGATTGCCATCTTCTTGTATTTTCACATGTGGAAAAAGAGCTGTCTGGCTCTCCGGTCTTTGTATGAGGGCACTGATCCCATTCATGAGGACTCCACTCTCATGATCTAATTACCTCCCAAAGGCCCCACCTCCAAATACCATCACATTGGGGTTAGGGTTTCAATATAAGAATTTTGGAGGGACACAGACATTCAGTCCTTTATAGGTAGAAACCAGGTGCAAGCTTTTCAGAGTCCTCTCTTAGTGAGGTCACACAGAATGTACTTAATTCCCCCAACAAGTTGTGACAACTTGTATGAAATGTTTTATACCAAGGAAGCTCACCTGAGGCTAGGAATGAGGGCCTTTCTTAGGGGTCAGTCATGGAGGCACATAGTACTCGTGTGACTGATGGTGGTCACTAAAATTCCTGATGTCCATAAAGAAATCAGGTGTTCAACATAGAGCACATCATTTATACAGTGTAGGCACAGTGAGCCTCTTTTCTCATTAAGGGAAAGTTTTGCCTGGCAAGTTCCCAGATGACAGCCAGGGGCCCCCCTTGCAAGTAGGTTTTTCTAAGTGTAGCAGCCTCGGGCCTGCTATGTCAACTTTTATCTACACATGCATAAAATGTGTATGGTTTGTGACCGTACCCTATAAGTAAATAGTTTCTTGGGTTATATGAGCCAAGGTCTATTGATTAAAGGTACAGGAACTATATATTTCAGAAGGGACACTCTCTTGTAATTACGGGCATATGTCTCAAAGAGAGAGGCAGGCAAGAGGGAAGATAAAAAGGAAAAGCAGACCAATGGACCTGATGTTGAGGAGGTTTCAGGGAATTTGCCAAAGCAATTTATGTCATGAATGAAACCAACAGTAGAAGATTGTTTATCTTGATACCTAAATAGCAGAACCATCTAGGTAATGAAATCATTTTAAAATGGTGTTTTTAGTAAGCAGTTATTTTTACTAATGCCATTCTAATAATTGAAAAAGTATCTGCTAAGAGTGTGGCTCATGGTAAGTATGTCAGTTCCTGGGTTGCAAGTGGCTCTGAGCACTGTTGACACAGATTCTAGTGCTTTTAAAAATACAAACAAGGGGAGGAGTCAAGATGGCAGAGAAGTAGCAGGCTGAGACTACTTCAGGTAGCAGGAGATCAGCTAGATAGCTTATCTAAAGATTGCAAACACCTACAAATCCAACGGGAGATCGAAGAGAAGAAGAACAGCAATTCTAGAAACAGAAAATCAACCACTTTCTGAAAGGTAGGACTGGCGGAGAAGTGAATCCAAAGCGACGGGAAGATAGACTGCGGGGGGAGGGGCCGGCTCCCAGCAAGCGGCAGAGCAACGGAGCACAAAATCAGGACTTTTGAAAGTCTGTTCCACTGAGGGACATCGCTCCAGAGGCTTAACCGGGGTGAAGCCCACGCGGGGTCAGTGTGGCCTCAGGTCCCGCAGGGTCACAGAAGGGTCAGGGGTGTCTGAGTGTCGCAGAGCTTACAGGTATTAGAACGGGGAAGCCGGCTACAGAGACAGAGCCGAGGAGTGAGCTCTAAGCTCGGAGTTACTTTGAACCGGTCACAGGCTCTGTCAGCTTGGAGCGCGGCCGGAGGCCAGGGCGACGGGAGTAATTGGGCGCTGTTCTCTGAGGGCGCACTGAGGAGTGGGGCCCCGGGCTCTCGGCTCCTGCGGGCCGGAGACTGGGAGGCCGCCATCTTCATTCACGTCCTCCAGAACTCTATGGAAATCTCTCCGGGAACAAAAGCTCCCGAAAGCAAACCCGATCGGATTACTCAGCCCGGCCCTGGGTAAGGGCGGTGCAACTCCGCCTGGGGCAAAGACACTTGAGAATCACTACAACAGGCCCCTCCCCCAGAAGATCAACAAGAAACCCAGCCAGGACGAAGTTCACCTACCAAGGAGTGCAGTTTCAATACCAAGGAGAGCAGCGGAATTCCAGAGGAGGAGAAAGCAAAGCACAGAACTCATGGCTTTCTCCCCATGATTCTTTAGCCTTGCAGTTAATTTAATTTTTTTTTCTTTTTCAGTTTTTTTTCTCTTCTTCTGCTAAATTTTTTTAACTTTTACCCTTTTCTTTTTTAACGTTTTTTAACTAGTTTATCTAATATATATATATATATTTTCCTTTTTATATTTTTTCTTTATTTATTTTCTTTTTAAAAATTCTTTCTTTTTTTTTTTTTTCCTATCTGAACCTCTTTTTATCCCCTTTCTCCCCCCCTCACGATTTGGGATCTCTTCTGATTTGGTTAACGCATATTTTCCTGGGGTTGTTGCCACACTTTTAGTATTTTACTTGCTCCTTCATATACTCTTCTCTGGACAAAATGACAAGGCGGAAAATTTCACCACAAAAAAAAGAACAAGAGGCAGTACCAAAGGCTAGGGACCTAATCAATACAGACATTGGTGATATGTCAGATCTAGAGTTCAGAATGGCGATTCTCAAGGTTCTAGCCGGGCTCAGAAAAGGCCTGGAAGATATTAGAGAAACCCTCTCTGGAGATATAAAAGCCCTTTCTGGAGAAATAAAAGAAATAAAATCTAACCAAGTTGAAATCAAAAAAGCTATTAATGAGGTGCAATCAAAAATGGAGGCTCTCACTGCTAGGATAAATGAGGCAGAAGAAAGAATTAGCGATATAGAAGACCAAATGACAGAGAATACAGAAGCTGAGCAAAAGAGGGACAAACAGCTACTGGACCACGAGGGGAGAATTCGAGATATAAGTGACACCATAAGACAAAACAACATTAGAATAATTGGGATTCCAGAAGAAGAAGAGAGAGGGGAGCAGAAGGTATATTGGAGAGAATTATTGGAGAGAATTTCCCCAATATGGCAAAGGGAACAAGCATCAAAATCCAGGAGGTTCAGAGAACCCCCCCCTCAAATTCAATAAGAATAGGTCCACACCCCGTCACCTAATAGTGAAATTTACAAGTCTTAGTGACAAAGAGAAAATCCTGAAAGCAGCCCTGGAAAAGAAGTCTGTAACATACAATGGTAAAAATATTAGATTGGCAGCAGACTTATCCACAGAGACCTGGCAGGCCAGAAAGAGCTGGCATGATATATTCAGAGCACTAAACGAGAAAAACATGCAGCCAAGAATACTATATCCAGCTAGGCTATCATTGAAAATAGAAGGAGAGATTAAAAGCTTCCAGGACAAACAAAAACTGAAAGAATTTGCAAACACCAAACCAGCTCTACAGGAAATATTGAAAGGGGTCCTCTAAGCAAAGAGAGACCCTAAAAGTAGTAGATCAGAAAGGAACAGAGACAATATACAATAACAGTCACCTTACAGGCAATACAATGGCACTAAATTCATATCTCTCAATACTTACCCTGAATGTGAATGGGCTAAATGCCCCAATCAAAAGACACAGGGTATCAGAATGGATAAAAAAACAAAACCCATCTATATGTTGCCTACGAGAAACTCATTTTAAACCCGAAGACACCTCCAGATTTAAAGTGAGGGGGTGGAAAAGAATTTACCATGCTAATGGACATCAGAAGAAAGCGGGAGTGGCAATCCTTATATCAGATCAATTAGATTTTAAGCCAAAGACTATAATAAGAGATGAGGAAGGACACTATATCATACTCAAAGGATCTGTCCAACAAGAAGATCTAACAATTTTAAATATCTATGCCCCTAACGTGGGAGCAGCCAACTATATAAACCAATTAATAACAAAATCAAAGAAACACATCGACAATAATACAATAATAGTAGGGGACTTTAACACTCCCCTCACTGAAATGGACAGATCATCCAAGCAAAAGATCAACAAGGAAATCAAGGCCTTAAATGACACACTGGACCAGATGGACATCACAGATATATTCAGAACATTTCATCCCAAAGCAACAGAATACACATTCTTCTCTAGTGCACATGGAACATTCTCCAGAATAGATCACATCCTCGGTCCTAAATCAGGTCTCAACCATTATCAAAAGATTGGAATCATTCCCTGCATATTTTCAGACCACAATGCTCTGAAGCTAGAACTCAATCACAAGAGGAAATTTGGAAAGAACCCAAATACATGGAGACTAAACAGCATCCTTCTAAAGAATGAATGGGTCAACCAGGAAATTAAAGTAGAATTGAAAAAAATCATGGAAACAAAAAATGAAAACACAAAGGTTCAAAATCTGTGGGACACAACAAAGGCAGTCCTGAGAGGAAAATATATAGCGGTACAAGCCTTTCTCAAGAAACAAGAAAGGTCTCAGGTACACAACCTAACCCTACACCTAAAGAAGCTGGAGAAAAAACAAGAAAGAAACCCTAAACCCAGCAGGAGAAGAGAAATCATAAAGATCAGAGCAGAAATCAATGAAATAGAAACGAAAAAAACAATAGAACAAATCAACGAAACTAGGAGCTGGTTCTTTGAAAGAATTGATAAGATTGATAAACCCCTGGCCAGACTTATCAAAAAGAAAAGAGAGAGGACCCAAATAAATAAAATCATGAATGAAAGAGGAGAGATCACAACCAACACCAAAGAAATACAGACAATTATAAGAACATACTATGAGCAACTCTATGCCAACAAATTTGACAATCTGGAAGAAGTGGATGCATTCCTAGAGACATATAAACTACCACAACCGAACCAGGAAGAAATAGAAAGCCTGAACACACCCATAACCAGTAAGGAGATTGAAACAGTCATCAAAACTCTCCAAACAAACAAAAGCCCAGGGCCAGACGGCTTCCCGGGGGAATTCTACCAAACATTTAAAGAAGAACTAATTCCTATTCTCCTGAAACTGTTCCAAAAAATAGAAATGGAAGGAAAACTTCCAAACTCATTTTATGAGGCCAGCATCACCTTGATCCCAAAACCAGACAAGGATCCCATCAAAAAAGAGAACTACAGACCAATATCCTTGATGAACACAGATGCAAAAATTCTCACCAAAATACTAGCCAATAGGATTCAACAGTACATTAAAAGGATTATTCACCACGACCAAGTGGGATTTATTCCAGGGCTGCAAGGTTGGTTCAACATCCGCAATTCAATCAATGTGATACAACACATTAATAAAAGAAAGAACAAGAACCATATGATACTCTCCATAGATGCTGAAAAAGCATTTGACAAAGTACAGCATCCCTTCCTGATCAAAACTCTTCAAAGTGTAGGGATAGAGGGCACATACCTCAATATTATCAAAGCCATCTATGTAAAACCCACCGCAAATATCATTCTCAATGGAGAAAAACTGAAAGCTTTTCCGCTAAGGTCAGGAATCCGTTATCACCACTGCTATTCAACACAGTACTAGAAGTCCTAGCCCCAGCAATCAGACAACAAAAGGAAATTAAAGGCATCCAAATTGGCAAAGAAGAAGTCAAACTATCACTCTTCGCAGATGATATGATACTATACGTGGAAAACCCAAAAGACTCCACTCCAAAACTGCTAGAACTTGTACAGGAATTCAGTAAAGTGTCAGGATATAAAATCAATGCCCATAAATCAGTTGCATTTCTCTACACCAACAACAAGACAGAAGAAAGAGAAATTAAGGAGTCCATCCCATTTACAATTGCACCCAAAACTATAAGATACCTAGGAATAAACCTAACCAAAGAGGCTAAGAATCTATACACAGAAAACTATAAAGTACTCATGAAAGAAATTGAGGAAGACACAAAGAAATGGAAAAATGTTCCATGCTCCTGGATTGGAAGAATAAATATTGTGAAAATGTCTATGCTACCTAAAGCAATCTACACATTTAATGCAATTCCTATCAAAGTACCATCCATTTTTTTCAAAGAAATGGAATAAATAATCCTAAAATTTATATGGAACCAGAAAAGACCTCGAATAGCCAAATGAGTATTGAAAAAGAAAGCCAAAGTTGGTGGCATCACGATTCCGGACTTCAAGCTCTATTACAAAGCTGTCATCATCAAGACAGCATGGTACTGGCACAAAAACAGACACATAGATCAATGGAACAGAATAGAGAGCCCAGAAATAGACCCTCAACTCTATGGTCAACTAATCTTCGACAAAGCAGGAAAGAATGTCCAATGGAAAAAAGACAGCCTCTTCAATAAATGGTGTTGGGAAAATTGGACAGCCACATGCAGAAAAATGAAATTGGATCATTTCCTTACACCACTCACGAAAATAGACTCAAAATGGATGAAGGACCTCAATGTGAGAAAGGAATCCATCCAAATCCTTGAGGAGAACACAGGCAGCAACCTCTTCGACCTCAGCCGCAGCAACATCTTCCTCGGAACATCACCAAAGGCAAGGGAAGCAAGGGCAAAAATGAACTATTGGGATTTTATCAAGATCAAAAGCTTTTGCACGGCAAAGGAAACAGTCAACAAAACCAAATGACAACTGACAGAATGGGAGAAGATATTTGCAAACGACATATCAGATAAAGGGCTAGTGTCCAAAATCTAGAAAGAACTTAGCAAACTCAACACACAAAGAACAAATAATGCAATCAAGTAATGGGCAGAGGACATGAACGGACATTTCTGCAAAGACAACATCCAGATGGCCAACAGACACATGAAAAAGTGCTCCACATCACTCGGCATCAGGGAAATACAAATCAAAACCACCATGAGGTATCACCTCACATCAGTCAGAATGGCTAAAATTAACAAGTCAGGAAATGACAGATGCTGGTGAGGATGCGGAGAAAGTGGAATCCTCCTATACTGTTGGTTGGAATGCAAGCTGGTGCAACCACTCTGGAAAACAGCATGGAGGTTCCTCAAAATGTTGAAAATAGAACTACCCTATGACCCAGCAATTGCACTGCTGGGTATTTACCCTAAAGATACAAACGTAGTGATCCGAAGGGGCATGTGCACCCGAATGTTTATAGCAACAATGTCTACAATAGCCAAACTATGGAAAGAACCTAGATGTCCATCAACAGACGAATGGATAAAGAAGATGTGGTATATAAACACAATGGAATACTATGCAGCCATCAAAAGAAATGAAATCTTGCCATTTGTGATGACGTGGATGGAACTAGAGGGTATCATGCTTAGCGAAATAAGTCAATCAGAGAAAGGCAACTATCATATGATCTCCCTGATATGAGGGAGAGGAGATGCAACATATGGGGTTAAGGGGGTAGGAGAAGAGTAAATGAAACAAGATAGGATTGGGAGGGAGACAAACCATAAGTGACTCTTAATCTCACAAAACAAACTGAGGGTTGATGGGGGGAGGGGGGTTGGGAGAGGGGGGGTGGGGTTATGGACATTGGGGAGGGTATGTGCTATGGTGAGTGCTGTGAAATGTGTAAACCTGGCAATTCACAGACCTGTACCCCTGGGGATAAAAATATATGTTTATAAAAAATAAAATTAAAAAAAAATCTTTAAAAAAAAAGAAAAAAAATACAAACAAGATGGTAAGGACCCATGAGGGGTGACAGTTCTTTCTCATTCTCATTGGTGGATAGCAACTATTTTCTTAATGTTTAAACTTCCATTAGTAACTTGATTTTTAAAATTGTTCTTACATAATCACCTCAATGTGTTTTATTTTACTTTTGTTGAAGTAGACTACTTATCTTTTATGGCCTTTTAAAAATCTGCTTTATTAAGATATATCATGTTTGAAAATCTTCATCTTGTGAATAAGACATTTTCAGTTTTTCCTTCCCTGTCTCAGTACTTTCTTTTTCTTGTCTGACTGTGTTGGCCAGCACTGCCCGTGGCTCCTAGAAGAGCACTTAAGCATGTCATCCCTCCCTGCTCCATATCCACCAAGCCTCACACACACTTATTGCAGAGAGTGACCAAGAAGCCACTGATCAAAAGTGACATTTCCAAAGGTAACTTTCTATGTGAATATTGGTTATCTTCGTAAGTGGTATAAAACATGCTAAAGAAGCATGCCGTGAGAATTTGGTCATAGGAAATACAGATTCCACAGAAAGGAACTCTTATTCCTGAGGTAACTTTAGGTAGGGCAGTCGGATACTCAGTACTGGGCATTTGGGTTCCTTTCACTCTCTTCTCCCTAGGCCAACACAGGTCTCAGAGAGAATGGGTCATGGTAGAACTTTCAAAAGAATTAAAAATGCTCAGCCCCAAAGGTTGGAATTACCAGGACAAGGTGCTAACTATGTCATTTCAAATTATATTTTGGCATCTTGCATGTAACATAAAGTCCAATATGCAGGAATGGTCTTTGCTGGCATCTGCTTTAATTCTGAGAGCATTTGAGGCAGACTGAAAATAGCACCTTAACTGGGCCTTTGAGAATATGTGCAGTGTTCATTGACTCTTCTTTGGCACTCTAACTCCTGAAGAAAAATGTCCTGCTGTTGTTTCTTGAGCAAACCAAACACTTGTGTTTTCTTCCTCTTGTGATTGTGTGGGGCCACTTTGTGGCATATTGGAACTTTGTCTATCCTCAGTGCTGTATCCCAAAACAAGTACTATTTTTCAAAAAATATTTTCCCCTTCTCAGGATTAATTCCTTGATTTTCTACACTGTAGCAACCTTCTTTAGAGATTGGAGGGAAAGTTTTAATTTAGGGATCTGACCTCTGTAACTTCCCAGAGTTCTTGATGTAGTTATGGAAATTGCCTGGTGATGCATACACATTTTTCATGGAATTAGCTAATCAGTTAATCCATCAAACATTTCTTGAGTGTCTAGAATGTGCTAGTCACTGAACATACAAAAATGAAAAAGTTCTGACTTCAAGGTCTTTTTTTTAAAATTTAATTTAATTTTATTTTATGGCTCAACTTGGGAAGATGAGTCCAGAAATCATTGTGAAAAAGGAAATTATAGGGGAAGAATTGCTGGGGGCTTACTTAGTCAAGCATTGGAGGAAGTGGTAATATGGTAAAAGTTTTCACTATATTTCCTTAAAATTTTCTTTTGCATTTTAATAAATGAAGATTCTGTTTTTATTATATAATTTACTTTTGTAGACTTCATAGACCATCTAGGTTTTAATACAGACTTGTTGAATTGTATAATTTTTTTTAATTGTATAATCTTAAACTATTGCTGACTTACTGTAGTGGCTACAACTCAAAAACTGAATTAAGTGTTAATCAGCTTAATTAAGATATTCTTTTGTCTATCTGTCCTAAGATATACTAGATAAAATGTAGAATAAGATAAATTTATCCAGTTTGATTGTTCTGTTTCTATAGGCCTATGTCAAACTCACTGCCGTAATAAATGCCAGAAATGGGCATGTGTTTCTGATCAAATTTGTTTGCTCTGGGAGCACTACTGACTTCTGTGAAAGATGTGAAACTGGTGACTGTTGTTTTGGGTTAATATGAATTTCAGTCTACTCATCAGTGTGCTAGAGAGATCTTTCCTGTGTGTGGGGGTGTATTTATGTAAAGAGGACAGGTGGGAGTATAGGACCATTCATATGTTTATTGGTGGAATGCAGCATGTAGCATATTTATTTTATTTTTTTTCCTTTTCTTTTTTTATTTTATGTTTTTCTTTTTCTTTTTTTTTTTTGCAATTTTTTTAAATTTTCAGCATAACAATATTCCTTGTTTTTGCACCACATCCAGTGCTCCATGCAATCCGTGCCCTCTCTAATACCCACCACCTGGTTCCCCCAACCTCCCACCCCCCGCTGAATATCTTGAAATTATCTAAAAAAAGTTTTAAAGAAAATTCATTTTCTTTGTCTTTAATTAAGATTGTATCATTTTAAATATTTTTTGGTTCATGTATATGGGAGGCAGAAAGTTGGGCATTATTCTTTGTATTTTTTAGTTACCAGGAAGCTCACCACTGAAGTCCATGACCACAGTACCAGTCGTGAAGCCACCGCTGTCTTTTCAAAAAAGATCTTTTTTCCCCTTCAACAAAGTAGGATTTAAAAAAAATTGAAAGTGTGATCATTAAAATTTGAGATGAAACCATGTTAGAGACTTTATTCAATTTATTATTAATAAAGGAACAGGGAAGATGGCAAAGGTGGTTCAGAGAACATTTGAGGATCCAGATTTTTATAGGTATTTTGAATGAGTGTTAGAATAACAGCACTAGCTTAGATTTAGAAAGTCTGGCTTATTGTCTGACAGAGCAATACATGATAATCTTTAATGTTATATTTCCTATCAGAAATTATTTCTATCCCTACTGGTTAAAGATTTGTAGGTGAATATGGAATTTTACTAAGTCTAGGATTTAAACAATGAGTTGAAGGTACAGTTCATAACTGAATAGTCATAACTGAATAATCTTTGGGAGGGCCTGTTAAATATCATCCTCATATAACATTAAAAGGACATGTCACTTACCCCTACCTTTTTGCCTTCCGTCCATGTTTTAAATAATCTTTAACATCCTGTATCTTGAAATTTTAAAATATGTATGTTTCAAAACATTAACTTTTAGATTCCAATTATAGTAACCCAATATCATTTGCAAGTAGCTAATGGAGAGGTTGCCAGACAAAAAATATTCTAGGTTTAACCAGTGGAAACAACATAACATAATTTTACAGGCCTATTATGGCAAAGGTTAGAAAAGAAAAAAAATGCTTATTCTATCTGAGGATTTTTGATAGATTGAACATGAACTACTTGAAGACAGCCTCTGTAGTTAGTTCTTACCCATTCAGTGTTGAATCCCCAACATCTAGTTTAGCTGAAGTGTGGTGTTAAGAGAGTTAGGTCACTGAGATACAGTGACTGACCAAATGTCGGTAGTAATCTGTGAAACCTGTGGAAACTCCAGCTGTCTAATAGAAATTCCTTTGCATTGTGTGTTTGACCAGGTGAACAACAATTGTGTGCTGGCCCCAGGATGCCATTCAGACCTTCTGCCTGACTCTCGGGGCACAAGGCTCAGTACCTGCAGAAGCATTTTACCCACCTCATCCGGGCATGGGGACAACATGTCTTCATACAGGAAGGCCGCAAAAGAGTCTGGTAAATTCTCGTGCCTCGCATACTTTGGGGGGTGTGAGGAGCAGGAGGAACAGAACAGTGGTTCTCAGACTATGTATGTGGGAACCACCTGTTAATTTGTTAACCTGCAGGTTTTGATTCACTGGGTCTGTGCACGAACTCAAGATTGTGTAGTCTAACAAGCTGTCACACTTAAGAGTAGCGGCGACTAGAGTCTTGTGTTTTATTTTACTCTTTCCAAATAACATTTTTTCCAGTTATGTAAATAATAATAAGTTACATATATAGCATATAATAAATAATTTTTATACAGTAATAAATATTATATATTTATTGCAGAGAATCTGGGAAATACAAACAAGCACAAAAGCACAGAGAAGGTGGCTTTCGGTGTATACTACTAACAGTGTTCTAATGAGATGCCACTGTCTCCAGGTGACCCATACTGTCATTGTCTTGTCTCCAACACTGGTAGCTTACTGTCATTTTTCAACATTTTTTTTATACCTTTCCTCACTCTTTTTAAGTTCAGCTCAGCTGCTGCTCCCTCTTCTCTCCTGCCCTCCTTGTTCTCAGTGTTGCTCCCCACTCAGAAGGCTAAGCCAGAGCTCTGCAGAGGGTCGTCCTTGCTGGGCTGCTTCTCTGGTCTTGCAGCTCTGACTCCAAAAGTCCTTCTGGTCCTGTCTACATCTGAAAGACCCAGAAGCAGCTTGCTTCTTCATTGTGATACTACTTACCCGAGCACATTTGTGGTCTCCAGTTTTTTTTTTTTTTCCTTCCATTATAGACATTACTATTGACAACATGTTAATATTTATGGATTTTATACTTGTGCTAGATTCTTTCTTTAGGATAAATTCTCAGGATTGGGATCCTTGAGCTAATGGGTCTGAATTTTGTGTTGCTTTTATTCTCTGTTGCCACCATTATTTTCCAGAAAATGTTAATCCTATTACGAGCAGTACGTTAGTTATACTGTAACCTGCCTTTGGTGTTATTGCAGCCAAGAAGGTAATTTAGTTTTTATGAAATGATATTTTGAGCCTTCTTTTTCCTTCCATTTCTGTGATTACTTTTCAGGACTATTTATTTCATTTTATGTAACTTGATTTTTTAAAAAATCTGCTTACTGCTTTTTCCTTTTTGAGATAACAGTGCACTAACAGTTCATCAATTATTTTCTGAACTTCTATTTAAGAATCTGATCAAATTATAGATTTTTACTGGAGATTTTTTAAATGTAATTTTGAATCAGTTTCTTTCCTATTTTATGTCCCAAACACATCATTCCTTTGTTTTAGGTTTCGTGAAAAGTACAAAAACAGCACACACACAAAATAGTGGAGGCACTCATTTACTTAAGACCTTTGCAATTACTGTGCAAGTGACCAAACTGACTGGTTCCTTAAAATAAATTATTATGAAAGTAGCAGTTGTCATATTTTATTGGTAAAATGTTTTAGATTCTAAATACATATGGCCATTTATAGCTTTGTTCTTTTATTGTCACCTAGTGAATGGTCTCTTTTCTCAAGGAAAGAGTGTGCTTTGCAAAATTGCTTTGCAAACTGTATAGATGGAATTAAAGTCCACAATAAGAGAGACAGACAGAGCAAGAACCAAGTTACTTTGAATGAATTAAAATCTTTAGCCAGTCCCTAAATCACTTATTAGAAACATTTATAGTTTTTGCAGAATTCCAGCTGGAATTTGTATTTTCTCTTCTGGGCTTCCTTAAGGCTTTTTAAAATATCCTTATTAGAGTGCTTGTTTTATTGTCTCACATTCTAGTTATTTTTATACTTCCCTATTGAAGGACAGACTTCTGGAGGGTAAAGGTTGAGTCTTTCTTCCTCTTTGCTTAAGCACACTCGGTGCTTTGTATATTGTAGATATTTAATAATGTTTGTTGAGTTAAACATTATTGCAGAGCTGCTTTTCATGATGGAAGAGAGAGAATAGAAGAGGTACTACTAATCTGTAGTTTCTACAATACGTTGTCCTTCAAGAAATGACAGATTAGCAGTTTTGATTTATGGCAAATTTGTATTACCAAACAGATCATTTGTGAGCCCCTAGGAGAGGATGAAATGATCTTGTAAGAACTGAGTTTCACTAAGAACAAGACAGGTTAAACCAGCTTCTAACTAGAGTAGTCTGGAGCAGCCCTGTATCAAGAAGAAGCTTTCCTAATCCTGATAGGGTAAATGTTCTTCTTCCTGGCCACCCTAAGATTAGGATGACCCAAACCACCAAACACCAGGAAATCTCTTGCTTGGAACATTTGATGTCCCTAAAGCCTCCCCTGGAATCCCATTGCGAAATGAGATAGGTGCTTGAACTTAGCAGTGCTTGCTGATGTCAGAAGTCATCCCTTTTTGATTCTGAAAGTGGTAGAATACTCAGGAGATTCAGTTACTAGTTCAACTAGTTAACTAGTCGCTTAGATGTCCTCTTGGCAAAGTCTTTGTGAAGATCCTCAGCCTTCTTCATGTTTTAGGCTCCTTAAAACTTAGCCACAGTAACCTGAAATTTTAGGTCATCTTGTTGCTTGAGGTCCAATAAAATTTGAATTAACAAAACCATGTAGGACCTGAGCTAGCTAGTCCAGGGTTTATGCTACTCTCTGTTAGTTCCTGAGAATCCTGGAAGAGAACACAGTTCTCATTATGGTAAATGTCCTTGCCAAAACTCACCGCTGGGTTCTTTATGCTAGTTCACCTTTAGTTATTTGAGAAAGAGATATTTCTTGCTTACCTTCCCACCCATGTATCTGAGAAAGGGTGACATTTGCATCTTGTTTTTAAGGCCTCTCAGTGCATGCCCACCTGTCAGGGTGCCAGCTGGGGTATTTAGAGGAGTTACTGGAAAATACTTTTGATTCTGTGTCTCATGTGAGTACAGTGACAGGCTGCATAGCTCCCAGATGCTGAATTGATGTACAACAGGCTACGAAATCAGTCCATGTATCTTTTATAGTAATTATGTCCTTCCCTCCTGGTTCTTCTCTATTGAGAACCATCCTGACTCTGGCCATTGGTCGAGGAGTCTCCATCCACAACAAGGTTTTATGGGATATAAATACACCAGGGGCTGCTACTAGGGCTCAGCTAATATGGCATTGCTTACCATTGGGAAAATCCCACAGGCAACCTAGACTTGCTCAACTCCCATGAAATCTCTGTTATGTAAACTTTCAAGAAACCATATTCTGGATTCTCCCTGAATCACTTAAGTAATACAGGTGACTACTTCTCTACTATCATACCTTCATTTGTTCACATTCTTCCTGTCTTTTATTATTCCTGACCATTCCCATGGGCCCATGGATATTGTTACGTATCAGGACTTTCAGAACATGCTCTACAAATAGTCTCCTTCAAGGCATCTTCAGGGCCCGAGCCAAGGAGAAAGGCTAGACACCAAAGGAGTTCGTAGGAACTTGAGGCTTAGATTTTCTTAGGGACAGGATTTCAGACGGGAAAAAAGGGACACCTTACCTTATCCCAAGGCTAGGGAATCTGGGAAGGAGAAGGGTGAGACAAGGAGGTGTTCTGTCCATCCTGGTACTTTTAAACATTCATGTCTACCCCTAAGCCCCATATGAGCACACATAAAAATGGGTCTCTGATGTCTTCATTTTTCATGGGCCTCATTAATTTATGGTCTTATATGCCTTCTATGACTTACTCCTGCCCTTCTAGCTGTCTACTTCATATTTCAGTCCTTGAATTGATACCTAGTATTACTTCTCTGGTTTTAACCTTTTACTTTCCTTCTTTGATTCTCATTTGGGCTCTTCTTCTGACCAAGGGATTTTCATGGTTTTGAAACAATACCATTTGCATCAACTAATCTAGAATCCATGAAGGAAGGGCAATTTCCCACCACCCTAACAAAAAAGCTTTCCATGTTGCCCAACACCTTGCATTTGTCTAAAACTGGGAAAAGTGTTCTTTTTTTTTTTTTAAGATTTTATTTATTTGTCAGAGAGAGAGAGAGAGAGCACAAGCAGGCAGAATGGCAGGCAGAGGCATAGAGAGAAGCAGCAGGGAGCCTGATGTGGGACTCAATCCCAGGACCCTGGGATCATGACCTGAGCTGAAGGCACCTAGGCATCCCTAGGGAAAAATACTCTTATTGCTAGAGAAACATGTAAAAAGATTAATAAGATAGACCACACAATGACAGTTGATAACAAAACTCATTGTTCTGTGGACATTTATCTAGTGCATGTTCTGGCCTGGGCACTGTATTCTGGGTTGGAAGTAGGGAAGTGGAGAAAGCATGGTCTCTCCGAGGAGATTACAATATACTGTGGAAATGTGTATGCAGGTAAATTGTAATACAAATGGTAATCCTATAATAGTCATATCAGAAAGGTGCTATAGTGATCTCAGATTTGTAAAAGAGGCTAAAGGTAAAACATAGTAAGAATTAAAATTGATGCTTTTTGTTTATGTTAAAAAGTTCATCTTTGAATATGACCAGGGCAAGCTCTGCTTAAAATATATTTGGGAGACAAGAACCTGAGTGATCCTTGCACTGAAACATGGTAGATGCAGTACAGGCTTTAGTGTATGCCCCCTCTGGACATCCTACTGAAGAGGAAGTGAAGGAAGGAAAAGATGTAAACCTGCCAATACATCTTGACAGGAGAGGAGACATTAGCAGATGAAAAAGGTTAACCATTTTGGAAGGAAAGGAGGTGGGCAATGCCTTTAGCAGAGCAGAGAAGAAACCCACCTGTCGGAAAGGGTTGGGGTAGGAGAGCCACCAAGTAGAAACTGTCATAATTCTGCATTGGAACTATGAAATGTTTAGGGATTTAAGGTGCTGAGTGAAACAGTATAATTGTGTAGAGTCTGTCTTAGAACTTTTTAGATACCTACGTTTCTTCTATTAGCCTGAGCTGCAAGATAAGTGTTCTTCTCCCACGTTGGCAGATGATAGGAGGCTTGCTCTATATAGGCGATTGTGGAGGAGTTGGTTTGGAATGGGAGTGGGCTGCTAGGCTGAAA